TAATTATGAAACACAGTGTATTTGGTGGCAGGCCATATCGCATCGTCTTACGAGCATGCGTGATTGGCAGCTTCTGGCATGTCAGATCTGGCAACATCGTCGTAAGCTTTCATGCACTATGGAATTTTCTACGAGAATTGAACATGTACAGCTTGAATGCATGATTTAGGAGTAGGATTTGACGTGTAAACGACACCAAATACAAAGCAAACAACATACGGGAAGTGAACTAGCCTGGCCTTTCCAGCCAGCAAAGTTAAGCTCGCTAGCGCAACGTTTCAAGGATGCTCTTTTGATTAAGAAATGTTGTTGACACACTCTTCAATCTACACACTAAAATGTGAGCCTGAATTGAGAGGTCATGTACAGAGCGTTTCAAAAGTATAGGGGAACCTCTAAAAACAGCAGTTCCTATTTAAAATAAAAATTCCATGGCTTGCAATCGACTAAATCACCTTATTTAGAAAAGCTACAAACATTTTTATAAAAAAAAATCAAAAATGCCCCAGGTTTCAAAACAATGAAGGCACTCGGCTCCCCCGATTTCTTTACGATTTGGGGCGCAGACGCGACAAATCCGCGGCGTTCGCGGCCGAGTAGTGCGGCATTAGCTTGCCTGAGTATTCGACGTTACATTACGTGTCGTTACATCGTATAAACGAACACGTAATGTAAAGTCGAATACTCAGGCAAGCTGATGCCGCACAACTCGGCCGCGAACGCCGCGGGCTTGCCGCGGCCGCGCCCCAAATCGTGAAGAAAGTGGGGGAGCCAGGGCACTCTTGGCAAAAGGATTTAGGAGAAAATTTTCTTCTCCCCGACAACTCATTTGCCATTCTGTGGGAATGTTAATGAAAGTAATGTAACTCTTAAATGCGAAGGTCAAATGCTTCATAGCTCCTCAACGTGCCCAATCCCTCGTTGTGTTGACCATTTCAGAGGGGAATGAATCGAGCTCCTCCGGCACACAAAAGAGTGAGTAACCCACAGAGAGAGATGGTCAACCGGCCGTTAGACCGATGTCATAGTTTGCGAATCAAGCCCTGTCAAGTTCCACCACTATTGAGTCGCTGGTATCTAGTTCGACTCGGTGGCACATCGTTCGAGTCTTTGGCGCAAAGTTCGATTCGCTGGCGCAACGCTCGGATCCAGCGATTCGCTCGAATCGCAAACTATGACATCGACCTTATTCCAGCGACATGAAGTTGATAACAAGCTCACATCGAATTCGATTTGTTCAGCAATTTAATGGTGAAACAACCATTCCAAAAGATCAAAAAGATCAGAAACTACCTCAGAACTTTCTTAAACTAACTGCGGCAACAATTTTCGCTCCAGTGCCCACAAAAAGCTATGGAATATGAGAAGCAGCAACACTATAGCTCAAATCAAAGCTGAGCCAGAGCGTAAACCTCGAGAGAAATAGTACATTATCAACATATTAGTACATTATTTAACAAGAAGCGAAAGGGATTTCGCTTATGGTTGTCTTCGACAATTCCTGTGACCGGTAATATGCTACTCCTCATTGATGAAATCTATAATTAGGCAGCATTCGTGATTCCGCTAGAGATCATCCTAGGAGCTTGTTCTCTTCAGAACTTATATGCTAGGGTGCTTTCTGACTGCTATGCTCCTCTCTTATCGTTCGACTTAAAATTCCGGATCTCAAGCCAACTGTGCCGTATTTCTCGCTGAACTCATTTGCCTTCTGGCAATGTCTACGACCCGCCAAGTAACTGACGTAAAAGGCAGGCATTTGCAAGAAATATCTTTGAGAAAACTTTACTTTCAATTCAAATTAGCGATCTGATGAGTATCCGACAACTAGTCGAAAGCCCTCCGCAGTGTTGCGCTTTCCAATCTTGTAAAAGTATTTGTGCGCTATTCTGTACCACTAAATAGTAGAAAAATACTACCCAGAAAGCGGTAAACATAATGCAGGTAGCTGCGAAAAAAGACCGAGAGAAAAATAATAACTGTTGTTCACACATCAATTTGTTGACACAAAATCTGCTCCTAATAGCGTTGATGTCGAAGAATGCTGAGCTGGCGATGAAGCGGCTAATTACCACAGCCCAAAGCTTTTGAATCACTACCATGGCATACCACCCCAGTGTCACTTCATTTTGAAGTAAAATTTTAGTTCTAATACGCATACCCAGCTAATTTTAGAAAAATTTCCCGAAGAACTAGACACATCAGCATGGCGCTATCGCAAGATACGGGCATAGCGGTGACAGTGCATCCATATCTGCGTAGAACACACACTTTTTGTTAAAAGGACTAAGCCGTGAACGGGGAGGAAAGACTCCAGGGTGCGTGAGCTCTCCCGATCCTAGGCCCAGTCCCATAGGATATCCTGTACATTTCATAGCTCCGCCAAATTTATAAAGGCGAAAAAAAAGGAAATGCAAGCGTATACCTGTAACCCCGAGAAGAACTTGATCGACATCTGTTCGGCGAGCTGGTTTTCGGGAGTGGCGGCGCTTGAGCCGATGGCGACATCGGAGTTCGTGGTCGCGACGCACTGCGGCTGCTGCGACGAAGGGCTTCGCAATGCCAGAGTCGCAACTCTTCGTCGCAATCGAGGTCAAAGCTGAGCACAAGCACAGCACCAGCGTACCGGCCCTTGTCGGAAGCGAGTTACTTCGCGCGCGCGCGCCGCGACGCTCCGACCGCCTCGCAGCCGCGCGCTGCCGACAGCACTCGGAGCCTTGGCGCCGCCGGCGGCAGCACATCGATCGGCCACTCCCCCTCTTCCACTTTAATCAATTCAGCGCACAATCCTCTATCTATGCGGAGCGCTCCCATATCAATTGTACTGTGTCTCGTCATTTCCATGCTGAAGCGTTCCACGGTGATCCAGATTCGCTTCATCTGGAACATTCGCTTAGAATCGCCGCAGTCAGCCTGTGATGAACAGCCTCTTTTGCGAATGGCTAGAGGGCCTTTGTTTCTCCACTCCGTTTTCGGTCAGTGCACTTCGCTGATGGACATGTCATCCAGTGGCCATATATGAAGTTTTTTGAGTCAGCGATGCCTTGGTTTTAATTAGAGTCGAGATTATACAAGATTATCTGTTCTGCGTTCTCCAACTTCATGTGGAGGGATGCACCTTGACCGCGCCTTTACCAGTATAATTGTCGCCACGGTTTGCAGCGATCACTAATTACACATGCTGGCTTTTGCTTGTACGTTACCTTTCTCATTTTCGCTGATGGAATGACGCAAGTAAAGTTTCCTGTTGAGGAAATATAGCTTTGCATGCGCTCGAAATTACAACACTATCATTGTTTTCTGGAACTCGAATTAGGGTGTTGTTCACTAGAACAGAAAGCGGCTTTTTTGCTCTTCACAAGCCTAACATTTTCGCTCGGAAACCTCCGGTCCACCACTCACCACGAGTGGACCTGGAGTTCCTATAGCGAAAAATGTTTCGCGCTGCGGAACGCGAAAAAGTCGCTTTCTGTCCTAGTGAACCACACCAGTTGAATCACCTCATCATTACACACTCATCTATAATGGAATCTCACTTTCTTATTCTCGAATCCAAATGTTTTCGCGTGCTCGCTTTCAAATCTCGTTTTGAGTAATTTGCCTCGCTCTGTATGTCGTTTTAAGATACATCTTAGACATGGAATAGCAGTTGGGGAAGTAGCGCTGAACGGAAATGGCCCTACCGAGGTTGAGGTGAGATGCTTCTCAATTTTCTCGTTTTTCCCTATTTCTAAATACTGCCAATGCTCTGCTTCTTCATTTGTGGCTGAGGGTGATCACTTGTGATTGTATCCAGGGAATTTTTCTCAAATGAAATGTGCACCGCAATGCTTTCCACTCCTCCCTCCCCCCACACTGTTGAATATGCTCGGGATTCTTTGTATGAGAACAAATGGCGGAGTAGGTCATAGCCAATGCAAAGTAAGATTCGGGAATTTGTTGTTCATAGCTTGAGTAATTTCCTAGTGGGCAGGTCACAAAGTTGTTTTTGTCGGCCTATTTGTAAAATCCAATGGTTCATGCGAAAATTTCCAGTAGCACCGTGTGTTTGACAATTGCTATAACGAGCTAATAGTCGCTGTTGGTTACAATCGTCAAACACCTTTGTTTGAGAACTTTTTTGATGGTGAATGACGAATTCCCAACCTCGACATATTATTAGTGAGAGACATTTGTACATTTGACTATGAAAACACCAGTGTTGCTCCGCCCGCTATCGCGCGCATCACATGGCAGGCTTCAATGAAACTGAAAGACCCATGGAATATCAGCATGAGGCCCTCCATTAGCCACCTCACTATTGAATGTGTTAGACTTTTCCCAGTTTCGCTGAAGTCCATCGAGAATACGCGTGATAACGTCTAGAGCTGAACTGGTATGTATCCCACAAATGTAAACATCCTCCATTCTTCTTGAACTCGGATAATTTAGCGGTGAATAGGATTGCTGTCAGTCTCAAAATTAAAATTAACTATGCCTATTTAAGATAAGTGAAGAGGTAAGGCTTATCATTCATTCACATTCACCATTATTTAGAACCCCGAAAGGATTAGCGGTTTAATGAGTTTGGGCTTTCTTGATAGGAATGAAAGTCATCATTTGATGAAGACTTGATAGAGTTCATGCAGTAGACTGCAATAAGTAGGCTGGTCATACAATGATACAGTGTGCACGTACCACTACAAATAGAATTCGTAAGTAGGCACGTTCTAGTGTCAGCGCAAGCAAAGTAACGGAATCGACGACTTTTGCGTTCTGACGCGCTTATCAGCCTTTATCCGGAGAAAGTGGGGGAGCCAATGAACCTCGGCAAAGTAACAATACAACTTTATTTCATTCAACAGCACAGCGGTTGAAATGGCTTAGTCGGCCCGTCGTTTAAGATACCTTTTTTTCTTGTGTTTAATATACACGAAATGCACGAAAGAGTTCCACTCAACTGTTTTCTATCTTTTAGGGTTAATGCCAACTTGGAGGAAAAGTTGGTTCACCCGAACCACATGGTATATCAGAAGATGGAGGCGCTTGTTAATCACATGCTTGACGCAGAGTCTGGTGTTCCTATCAAAACTGTCAAAAGCTTCCTATCTAAGGTACCATCCGTTTTCACGGGTCAGGATCTCATAGCATGGATTATGAAGAGTTTGGACATGTCTGACCTCTGTAAGTCGGTTTCGACTTTTCTTTCAAGCTATTTGAACTCGATTTGTACGATTTGAATAGTGCCTCATTGCATTCATTCTAGCCGATGCTCTCCATCTTGCACATCTCATTGCATCGCATGGTTACCTTTTTCAAATAGACGATCACGTACTAACTGTGAAGAATGATGGGACTTTTTATCGGTTTCAAACTCCTTATTTCTGGCCGTCTAATTGCTGGGAGCCTGAAAATACTGATTACGGTATGGTTTTTCTACTGATTATGTGGCGAAGTTCTTATTCTGGTCTAAATTTTGTTCTGGTTTGTTGCTGGTGTGTTTTCATCAAATGCATTTCTTTGCAGCGGTCTATTTGTGCAAGCGAACAATGCAGAATAAGGCACATTTGGAGTTGGAAGACTTCGAGGCTGAGAATTTAGCGAAACTTCAAAAGATGTTCAGTCGAAAATGGGAGTTCGTGTTCATGCAGGCTGAGGCTCAATATAAGTAAGTTATTCGAATCAGTGTAGATCGTCAATTCTAATTTTTAACTTGGTCTCTCAGAGTTGACAAGAAGCGAGATCGACTGGAACGGCAAATTCTAGACAGCCAAGAGAGAGCTTTCTGGGACGTTCACCGACCGGTTCCTGGATGTGTTAACACAACTGAGGTATGAATGATTAGAAGCTGGGCAAAGGCGTTGGCAAAATTGAATTCATTATGTGTACAATTTCGTTTTTACTTCCAAAATGTTAGAGGATTCTCCCTTTCCTATGAGCTACTGAAGTAGCTTTTAGTTACTGCATTTCTATGCAGATTCTGGGTCACCATGAAGCTGATTATGTATTCTAATTATGAAATAACAATGATATTCTAATTGTTTGGTGGATATGGAAATTTAATAGCTAACTGCATTCATCTGACTCGGCTCAGAAGCGCGCCCATATTTTGTTTCGAACACAAGTTCCGCGTGAGCGTCTAGCGCAACTTTTGCTACGCGAAACCCCACGATCACTACTTAGGGATGCTTTACTATCGCTATCGTTTTTGAGCTTTCAAAAGCTGAGATAGAATTGAAAGAAAAAATTGACTGAAAATCAAAGTGCACGAAACGCAGGCCTCGCGGAACTAGTCTTACGATCAGTACTCGCGGCGTGCTGCGCCTTCGTTAGCGTTTTTAGGCTTTTTTTTAAATTTTTCATAGCATGTCAATTCACTATTGTGACGTCTGGGTAACCTGATGCTTTGGAGCTAGCTTTGCGAAAATGCTCGAGAATAGAAAACACTTCGAGTTGGTAAGATAGCGGATTGTGCTTGCATCGTACTCGTTGATAGGAGGATAAGGAAAATATTAGGTGATATCGTCACCTTCCTGTTTCCATCCATTTCCTCTAAGTCGAATATTTGAATGCTTAAAGTCATGGCGCCACCGAATCACATGTATCATAGCGATATCGATTGTGGGCTTTAGACGCGGCAAACGGTGCCAAATTACGCAAAATGCGTGTTTCATACATATCATGAATGCTATTCAAAAGCTCGGAGTATCATCTATCTGTTAGCGCAGGAAAATGATTCCATTGCTGATCGAGCTGCTTGAGATCGAGGAGATAATGATTGTAGTGATATACAGGGAGGGGGGCGGGGACAAAAAATGTCATTTCCCTTCACATAAACGCAATTAATAACAAGCTGCGAAACCAAATCAAATGAGCCCAATTGCATATTAAAGAGCGCATTTAAGTCTATGAATAGGTTCCATGACAGCCTTCCACACTGACGACGTCAGAAGGTTTTCCCACGAGAAGTTAGTTCGCGGTACGAGCTTAACCAGGTCGTCGAGGTACCATAGACCAATACCACGTTCCTGGAATTCTGTTCGAAAGCGGTCTTGCACAGTCACAGCTAGTGTCTCTGAGAAGCTAATGACCGCTTAACCGAATAAAGAAATTACGTTGCAGCTAGAGGCCCGAGCGACTCCGGTGAGCCTCGTGAGCTCGACGGTGACGGCAGATGAGGTCATATTCTGAAGACCGCGAGGGCAGTAAAGTAGGGGCTGCTTCTGCTCATGGGGGGGGGGACACCTGAGGAATATTCTGCCGTTAAACATTCATCAACAATGGCATTCTATGCGAAGAAAAATTTTGTGATGTGCACCATGGACGAAGTGACTTTTTTGGCACCCTCCCCCTGTATATATAACAATAGTACAATAGTAAAATGGTTAACGGTAGCAACAAAAAATGCACGATATTAGTGCCATCTCTCTTGGCTAGCGCCGCCGTGAGTACCATGTGTATCTGACCATTCCTTATACTCTACTCCCCCCACTCTCCACTTTTTTCTGTCCTGTTCCTGGAACAGAGCTGTAAATTCGTGTATTGATGACACGTTTAGAAGGAGCTTTGTCCCTTCCGGACTTAACCGCAATTTAGACATTGATTGGATTTTACAATTCTGACAATTTTTTGGTTTCTAGAATTTGAAACTTGTCCAGCTATCCGTAGGGTTTTTTCCTTATTTGACCCGCCTATCCCGTACTCACTTTGATTCCTTTTTACTGGTCTTCCCTTTGCAACACCTGGAACATGATAAAGTGCTCGTGTCTTGGTACCTTGCTTTGGTAAGTGCCGGGCTCCCAGACAATACCTAACCATTTGGGCGTGGCCGCGGCGAACGCGGCCGAATTGATTGTGCCCGCAAACCGTTGAAAACACACTCGAGGTGCCCGCGAACTCTGCTGTGCTGTGGTCGCGGGCACCTATCAACTCGGCCGCGTTCGCCGCGGCCGCGCCCAAATGGTTAGGTATTGTCTGGGAGCCGTAAGTGCCGTACCCACTGAGGGCGGAATTCTGCTTCGCCCATTTGTGCTCAGCCCTGCTCTGCCACCTATTCCAAACATGACGGAGCCTCTCCACACACTTCTTCAGGTAGCACAAATTCAGGCAGACATGAGCCTTATTTATAGTAGGTATGGTAATAATCACGGTAATGACGCAGCATAAGGTGGGATGGTAGGGGGGGGGGAGTGTGGGTGAGTTCGAATGGAAATATGTTGTGTTATGGATGAAGACATCGACCGTATGCAGACAAGGTCTCAAGCATTGTGAAGAATTTTGGGAAGAAATGAAAGTGGAAATAATGTAGAAGGTTGAATTGACGACAGCGCGGGATACAGATGTACCGCACCTCTGTTTGGAGGAGGCTCGTTCTACTTAGCTTATGCCTCGATTTTCACCTTTCAGAGTGGTCCACATGCATTATGGGTTAAAGGATAGTATACATTTTACTTGAAATGAAACTCCTGGTAAAGTAATCACTACTAATGAAAAATTCTGAAAAGGGTAGGTATGCGCGCCCTGATCGGCGGTCTGTATTGAGCAGTTAACGAGCAGCTTTCCGGAAGGAAGCTAGAGCGCAGATCAGCAGAAAAATGCACTGGTGACCGGTGTAAAAAGAGTTAGAAAGAAGAATGAACCAACTGCTAACTGGTTTGGATAAAGTGGTTCACCAGCGAACAACGATCCAAAAGATGAGCGAGAATAGGACTGCAGTGGGAATTGAGTTTTGGCGACATAAGTTTGCTGCAGAAATTGCGAAAGTGAGTCAGGTTAGAAATGGGTGTAGTTGCAAAAACTATTGAAGCTATCCGCTTATATGTCAAAATTTCTCACATGATTGTCATCTTGACTGCTCGTTGGATGTGACGAAAACTGGAAAGCGAGACCGGAATAATAGTTGCATAACAACTGCTAGGGTATGTGAATTTTCCTGAAGAATCGAGGAAATTCAATCTTCCATTTTTTTTAGAAATGCCCTATCATGTGAACTCCTTCATTAAGTATAAAATGTGCGCAGTTGTTAGTAATACATTTTGTGTTCAGGTTGACTTTCGAAAGCTGTCTCGCTCCGGGCGACCTAAGTATAGCTCTGGTGGGCACGCAGCCTTGAATGCCGCTGCTTCCTCCGGTTGTAGTCCATATTCAACTAGTGCGGCGGCTGCGCAAGCTCAGTTACCTTCTACTTCAAATGGAGCACCTGCAGCAACTCAGCAAACATCTCAGACCAGGTTTGGTTTGATTATTCTAGCTATTTCAGCTGACAATTTTTCATTAGAGGTTGTGATCAGGTATAACTAATGTTATGTTGTTAAGAATCATTATCGGTTAAAAAAGCGATGTCAGTTTATTTGAAAATATACAGTGACCCAATGTGTTACCGTTCACAAAATTGATATCAAGGCAGATTGCCCACTAGGCATCACTGGAGTTGTGTAAGCACACAAATTCAATCCTACCTCATGACCCCTTGGACGTTTTTGCGCCCGGTACCATTTGACGGTAACACGATTCATGCCTGTCCTATTATGTCTTTTTTACGCCTAATGTGCCCAAGGTCAAGCGTGCGCTGAGAAATCCTTGACACGTCACAGGGGGAGGGGGGGGGATCGTGTTGGCCCTTTGGGAGGAAGAGGTCGGGCCAGATTGATGCAGTAGGATCATCATTGTCGGAGGACAAACATCAAGGATCGAGTCGATGCCAGGCCAGAGGATTTCCAATAACAATGTTGTTCCACCCACATAAAATCTTCGCGATCCAGAGGTGTCCGCTTAGCAATTCTTAGTTACTTCAGTGTTTTGTCACCGCACAAGTTGAAGAAAACGAAATTTGCGCGTTTCCTTGGGATGTTTTATCTTTCAAGTGAGTCCTCGAATCTGAAGAGATGTGAAGCACACGGCGCGTCCCAGAGTGGGCCCAGTTGGTTACGCGCGCTTTATCTACGGCTCTCTGGAGAAAGAATCTCAGTTCAGGAAAAATCAAGAGGATCCCGAAAGGGTTCGTGTGAAATTGCAGGGAAGAGTACGCCATTCAACAAGAAACGCAGTAAAACTCATAAGCATGTAACCTTTAAAGTTGAGATGCGCTAAACAGTTTACACTTCTTGGGAAGAAAAAGCATGATGATTCCGAATCTGCTCCTACTTTAGTATATAATCGCTCCTGAAAGGAGCTATAGTCGTTAGAATAGTGCCAATGCAGCGAAAAAATACCTTTAGGCGGTGCTCGGGCAAAAATCCTCAACGTGGCCATTTTTTAAATGCTGGGCGTATAAAGCTGCTTTTGTAACCTTGTGATAGTGAATATCTTCTAGTTTTGTCCGCCATATTAACTTTTCAGATTGACGAAAGTGAAGCAAGTTATGGCCTCAGAAATAGTAAAAACTCGTGCTCATCATGAATTGTCCTCGTCAATTAGTCTAAATTTGTTGTTTCCTGTAAATTTTTGTAATTTCAAGATTGATTGGAAAGAGCTCTCTACAAAACTCCCAAATCTGCTTTCAGATTTGAAGAAAGTTATAATCATTTTAATATGTGTTCAAATTTCAACAGTATTAGGTTGTCCCAAAAATAGTGTCGCTTTTTTTCAACCAGATTTTTTTTAATCTAAGTCCCTATGCTTTTACATCGAGTCATATACCTTTGAAAGAGAATGGTCTGCACTACAAGATGCTATGTTCTCCTTCCACCTCTGTTCCAGGGTTTTCAAATTTTAGGCCTGCGAAATGGGAACTCCAACCGACAAAAATTGACCAAACCGACAACTATCTCTAACTTTATCTTCCATTGTGAGAAATCAATCAATACTGTACCCTCTACTTATGTATGACCTCTTATAAATATTGCACTATTAGGTTTCCCAACAAGTCGCGTCATTCCATTTCCAGACTTGGTTTTACAACCAGAACTCAATGGTCAAGCACCATTACCTGTGATCAAGGTCGAAATTTTTTTATAGCCGAGACATTGGAAAACTGCTAGAAGTTAAAGAACAAGTCATGACTATGTTAGGAATGTACGCCTGGTTGCTCAGGAATAATTTTTCTCAAAGAAATGCGGTCACTTGCGTGGATAAAGCAAAAGCACCTTACTCCTATACACCTAAAATTCAAGCATATTCCTAACAAACATTAAGACAAAACAAATGAGCGAATAGATAGAAGAAGTGCTCACAAAAGATACACCAGTTAATATAAAACAATAGCGTTTCAGAGGAAGAATTTCAATTTGAAAATTGCCGTGGCTTATCAGTCGGCCAGTTAGAGAAGAAACAGGGCAAACCTTTTTTGGCAACCCAGGGGTGGAATGTTCAGAAGAGGTCATGAGCAAGTAGGGGTTACATCACTAATTGATTTCTCCGCAGGGAAAGTGAAGTTAGAGCTAGTCGTCGGTTTGATCAATTTTTGTCGGCGGGACTTCCCATTTCGCAGGCCTAAAATTTGAAAACCATGGAACATAGATGGAAGAAGAACACTACTCCTTGTAAAGCAGACAATTCTCTTTCGAGTGCTATAAAACTCGATGTGAAAGCATAGGGATTTTGATGAAAATTTTTTGGTTGAAAAAAAAGCCACACTATTTATGAGACAACCTAATAGATAAGCTGTTCCACGGTCAACGCCAAAAACCTGTCAACACACAGTTGGCTAAGGTGGTTAGAAAGCTTCTCCCAACCGAAACGGGGACGTGTATATTGAGAACCAGTGTGTGTAGCACTAACATTTGGTAGGTCTTGGGAAGTAAATAAAGATGAGATGTCATAGTACGCCATTTTTAGTGACTGGTTTGTCGCTTTTTCGCTCCTTTTCGCTCGTTTGTGGGGCTCATTGATAATGATCGTTCTTTGACTTTTTCACTTTTGTACTCCTTGAACCAATTTTTTGGTGGACGGTGGGATAGCAGGGTTTTTTTATGAACAGTTTTGGGGGAAGAATTAAACAACCTTTTCATAGTTCGACTTTTAAGGGGATTGTTTCATGGACTTCGGCCCCTGAGGGAGGGAGAGGGGAGATCGCGTTTACCAATTTGTTCGCTTGACCCTGAATGTGCCTATCAAAATAACACCTCATGCATCCACTCCGTTCGCACGGACGGCGCGGACGGCACGGACTATGAAAGCAGCATAAGAGTGATAGTATCCTTTTAGTGAATTAGTTATGCTTTGTGAGTTACTCTTCTACTTTCAATACAGTTTATCACCGGCTATTTTTAGCTGTTTAATGTTTGCGGTACCATAATAGCTAACCTGTTAATGGCGCTATTCTGTAAAGGTGAATGAGTTGCCGAATAAAATCGCACCACGACAAACAAGCGTGGTTTCACGTTGCTCATCTGTCGTGGTCATTTTTTTCGCTTTGCAATTTTCACGCATACGATGTTGGTACGCATGCCTTCCGTATAATCGGATTAGGAACAGGGATATTTCCCTTAGGCGCAGCTATTCAAAAATGTGTTCAAGTCAATTTTGGTCAACCTCCGATTGCGGGAAAATTTTCGAGAAAGATGATCGACTTTTCCCCTTTCCGCCCTTGGTTGATCCACTTATTTTACTCTTCAACTCGTTTTCGAATTACTCGAGTTAATTTTTACTAGGAATATGGAATATTCTCAGTCTTGCAATACTTTCATAGATCATCAGTATCTTTTTTTTGCGGGTCGTTAGAGAAGTTGGGATCCATTTGCTTTCATTTAGTGGGCGCTCTTCTCTTTGAGGTGAACATTTAAATAAGGGCATTCGAAACCGCTAATAAGTGGCACTAGGACTAAGTATAAGTGAGGGGACGAACGCCGGGAGAACAAATATCGCTCACATCATCTCCCAGATTCCCTTTAAATTGTTGTCTCAAGCACTATGAGCTGCTCACTCACTTGAATTTCCCCCAACGACATGAGCGTGGTGGGGGAAATAGGGACAGGCCGTTATTCTTCGTATCTAGTTGAGCTCGCCTGCAGCTAAGATGTCCTTCAGACTCGACGACTTTGTCGAGCGATGGGCGATCGAGATCGCTTGCCATCGCTTGTCATTCGCTCTGGAAAAGTGTAAGCGACAGACGCTTGGCCCCCCCCCCCACGACCGATACAGTTGGCCGCGGTGTCGATTGCCTGCGGAGCCAATCGCCCATCGCTTGTACCTTTGCAGAGCGATGCCATAGCAATCGCTCTGGCCCAGCGATTGCCGTGTGACGGTCGAGCTCGGCATAATCGCCGAGGAAGGAAGGAGGTGGTAGGAAGGAAAGCAATCCTAATTAGGCGCCAAGGCATAGACGACTCACGCAAGCGTCCGGTGCTTACCCACACGCCTGTGTGAGCCGTTCAGGAAAGATCTAATAGTTCATAGAGCAACCGAACACACAAACACAGAAATATTACATTGTTGCTAACACATTCATGCGTGCAGGTAGGGAGTCAAAAAGTCACTTTGCTCGTTGGGCACACCATTTTCCACCTTTTCACCGCATAGGGTGTACTCGGTTACCTTATGGGTGGCTTCCTAGAGGCAACAGCTCAGATCATGTAGGTTCCTGAAGTACAAATACCCTACTAATTGGCAAATGGAATACTACGATGTCCGTCAGACTCAGCGATTGTGTCGAGCGATGGGAGATCGCGACGGGTGTTCTCCGCCCATGATCGGTACGGGAACCCGGCAGGGGCCTGTCACGTGCTCTGCCGTCAAAACCGGTATCGATCGCGGGCGGAGCCAACGCTCGTCGCTTGTATTTTTGTCGCCTCAACAACCGCTCAGCCATCGCGATGGCAGAGCGAGGCATCGCCCATCGTCTTCACAATCACCGAGTCTGACGAACATCTAAACCATTTCTTTGCTGTCATTGAACGAAAAAATGGGCAGCCTCTGCATTCGACTGTACCTCGTATCATTCATATCTTTCGAGGCGCCCATTTTATATCATTCTCTTTGTATTCTGTAGTTTTAAGGCCACGCCACGTATGTTAATGAAATTATTGCTGTCGTTTCATAATTTCATTTGAATAATACTGGTGTTGGTTCCCGAGTTGCCTTTTCCCGTACTTCCGCTGATATAGCTTTTCTAACTTGCTAATCTGTTGGATCGGCTATCAGAGACGTGTTTGTGCTACAGTGATATATGCCTTCGCCCCTAATTAGGGTTCCTTTAAACCTTAGTTGGAGGTCAGCTTAATTAGTTGTGAAGAATAACTCGCGTCCCGATTTCCCTTGACCCGTGATCGCCTTTGCCGTGTAAGCTCAGGCGCTGTCGTGGAGGAAGTCGAGTTGCGTCATGTCCACCAGTGCTAGCAACGTGGATCTTTAGCTTTTGCAAGCCCCTTATCGAGCTGGAGAAAGGCAGGTGACTGCAGTCATGGTTTTTCTGGGGGGGGGAAGGGGCAGCAAGCGTCCTTCGTTGGAGATACACACGGACCATCGTTTGTACTCGCTACTGACTGTAAAGGGCGCCGATTCGTTACGGGTCCCAACTGCCTCCTGCTACAGTGAACGCCCTTCAATGTGGAAGGCGGGGTTCCGTGGGCGGGGCAAGTGTAAGCCAGTCTAGGGGTGGGGGTGAGGTGCACGTCACTTGACATGCGTGAACAGAAGCTAGAATGTCGATATCCAACCGCGGATGCGCTTGGGATCACCCGCGGTTGAGGCAGTGCGATCCCGCAACGAATGGCGCCTATAGACTAAGTCAGTTAGGAGTACAAATATATTACTCCGATACACACCCCCTTTTTTCAATGCTTGTGTCGTTTCGCTGTCCCTCAGCATCAGCGATAATGTAGAATCACTTTCAAAATCTGGGTTGAAACACATCCAAGCCAAGAAACGAATCGCATGTCGAATGTTGAAAATTCTCGAGTGGCTCTTACGCGTTAAAGGACTTGTATTACTTTTGCACTGACGATTTTCCAGAATATCTAGGATTTAGCTGATTCATACGAGTTGTATGTGCAGCTACGACATGGACGGGATGGATTTATAATTAGGCATTGCTTGCTATTCTTTGCTTTCGAGCGATTAGGCGATTTGCCGATCCACCGCTGGAAGGAATGTATTGGGTTATTTTTTTTCTTTTTTTTCAATTCCAGCTGATTTTGACCCTGAATTGAAGCGCGCATTTTCCGGTAACTCAACAATAGGATCGTTCTTAATCTTCCTCATTGCATCTAGTATAATTCGATTTCGATTGATTCTATTTAAAGGAATCTTCCACGGACCATGGACCATGGGCGGGACCGGAAAATTTTGTGAAGAAATGCATGGTAGGTACGATCCACGTGTCGAGCACACGAACGTGAAACAGGATTCACTTCCGAACGCTTCCCATGAACGTGGATCTGTGCCTACCATGCATTTCATCGCAAAACACTTCCGGTCCCGCCCACTGGTCCATGGTCCGTGGAAGATTCCTTTAATTAAATGCAATTATTTATTTTGCTTTTTTTATTTTAAATGCACCCTGGGTGCACTCCACATGATAGAGCATGAACATCATCAACATGAAGGCGGAGAAGAACAAACACAAAAAAACCGAACTAATTAAAAACTATAATAGTTATAAATATTTTGGAATATTATATTTTTATAAATACTTCCTCTTGTTGGGTGCATTACTTATAACTTCAGAACTGTTACGATCCTATTGTTCTAAATATTTTCAATTTAAATCATTTCAGTTCGAGTGGTTCTGGAGGAGGAGGCTCATTCCGAAATAGCTACTATGCGAGACCAGGTTTAAGGAGGTGTACACAAGTTCAGGATACTTTGAAACTAGAAGTGCGTGCGGGATTTCAGTCAAGAATTTTCGATTTACAGTCTTTTCTTCCTTACGGCCTTTCCATCTACCTTCAAACGTTAAGCATCTTACAGATTAATCAGCTCAACAATCGGTTATCGAAAAATGTGTTACGGACATCCAAAGTTGTAGAAAAGTGAGTAACTTTCACAGTTTTTGGGAAAATCATTCTATCTTACTCGGAGGTAGAAGATATAGTCAGATTCTGGCTGCTTCATAAATTTCTAGCGAGATTTAGCGTACGATTCGAAGCGATGTTTCCCAACCTTTAGAGAAACATGCTGTGATGAAATCTCGGTCGTTGCCAAAGCATATGCACGTGGTTATACATGTAATTTACACCGAGTCATGCCATGTTTGAAGAACTATTATTAAGAAATGGTCTATTAATAGTTTTTTTTTCTAGCTATTTGGCTTATCACGAACATCGCAGAGTGTTTGATCCGTTTCTCACGCCTTTGGGGTCAGTATCTGATCCTTTTCAAAGTCAACCTAATCCCTGGATCAGTGACACTGTTGATTTTTGGCAACATGACAAGATGTGAGTTCTCCTTAGTTATCACGTTTTTCTACTTAAATCGGTCGCCGTCTAAATGTTAATACACCCAGACGATTCGAGAATGGGGAACCTAGAGCCTAATATTTTGTTTCATGTTACTCTTGAGCAACCATTCAGAAACTTTCAAGAGGCCGAGGGATCGAAGTCTGCGCAGATTTATTCAATTTATAGTCATTACCAGTTCAGCTTCGCATGCTATCGCGCGCAAAACATAGTAAGCTTTAGTGAAACTGGATAGCGTGTGGAACTCGTTCATGCGACCAACATAGGAAAGGGGCAAAGGTTATCCACTTTCAACAAAGACCGTATGGTGCGCGCGGTAGCGTGCGGAGCTAGAGCTAGAACTAGCGAACGAAGCGCGAAATGGATTTTGTGTGGGTGTTTATTATGTGGTACGAATGGGAATTTTAGCACCTAATTAGTGCTGCCTCGCGGCTAGACGCTAGTGTTCTGTGGGCGAGATGCGCAGAATATCCAGTAATGGTGAAAATGATTAGTGAACGATAGTTTCGAAGAGAGAAAGGTGACCTAGATAAAATTTGATTGTTTATTTATTATTCGTTTTAACATTCTGACTCCTGTGAACAAATCGAAGTAAAATTGATGTTCCTATTTATTATTATTGACTCGTACAACTCGATCTGAAAAAGGAGGATTAGAGTTGAATCCGAACTTGTGCCTCGATAGTGTCTTCTAGTCCACCCAGACCTTGCCTCCTGCTTTCTTTTCTGCACTGGATGCAGCTGATGACTGAAGTGTGAGATGCTGAAGACTTCGACGCCCTTGTACGTTCGTACTTTCGAGTATGTGTAGGCATGTTGCGTGCCCGGAATTCTGTATAATATTACGCAACGCTTTTCCTGTTGACGTGCAAGCCTTTCTCAAGCCCCTATAAACCCTTCTGGTCACAGCGGTTGTTCTCTTTGAACCGTAATAGACTGAGGACACTGGAGGGTGGCAGATACCGAGGAAGCTGAGGTTACATATACATATGGATGAAGGCGAAGAATCGTGGTGTGAAGAGTCAGCAGGATAGGTAGGACGTAAGCAAACCAGCCCTTTTGGCGCTTCGGCTGGGACCGTGTGCTGAATGTTGGGGAGGGGATGGAGTCTCCGACGGTAGACGGACCACTTCAACTCGGTCCTTGGAACCAACACAATTTGGTGCTTACCTCAGAACTAAGCCTTAAAGAGAGGACGGGTCCGTCCCCTCTCCAAGGCTTAGCCCTGGGGTGAGCAAACCAGACCTTCTGGCGGAGCTGCTGGAACAGCTTCACCACTTGCGTCAGTACCCTCCTATCGTACCAACCGAGTTGAAGTAAACCGTCGACCGCTGGGGTCCCCATCCCCTACCCAGCATTCAGCATACGGTCCCAGTCGAAACGCCAAAAGGGCTGGTTTGCTTACCTCGATACGTAGGTGGTATGGTATTTCACGTTAGACGGGACTTCGAGTACGAACTATGACGACGACGGAGTTGGGAGAACTATTTCAGGTGGGGCTGGAAATACGAAGTATGAGGAGGAAGATGCTGGCGTAAGGGCATGGAGCAGCTCATGATGGTGTGAAATTTGGCCTAGCCTTTCTGTAAGGTGTGAGAAATCACGGCTTCTTCAATTAGCCAGCCGAACGGTAGTTATTGACTTTCAGAAATATTTTTTTGTAATTTACTTTTTCCATAAGTTGATATGTTCACAGGAGAAGATCAAAAACTAATAAGTATATGGATAATCACATTTTATCTGGAATCACCTTTCTCCCTTCGGAACCGTTGTCGCAAATCCTTTACACCATTACTGGATATGTTCGGTGCATCTCGCCATGGAAGAGTAGCGCATAGTCGCGAGGCAGCACTAATTAGCTGTTAAAATTTGAGGTCACTTCGCACCTACTCTCGACGCAGCACTAATTAGGTGCTGAAATTCCCATTCGTTCACACCTGATACAGGTTACTTTATCATAATCATCCGTAATATTCACCAGGTCGCGGCCGATGTGCTGCATTTGGATTTTCATATGAATAAATGAAATTTGGAAAAGTCGTCTCTTACTTGGAGATTTCGGGGGACGTGCCAACCACCTTTTGGACTATTTGAGGAGGGCCATTTTTTCTTGTGGGGATACTTTTTGTGAATGATCCTTGTTCTTATGCTTGCTCGACGTGAGAAACATTTGATGAGGCTGAACTACCAAATATGTATTCCAATTCCTTTATCCGGATTGTGGGGTTAAAAAATGACCTCCATGGAGAGACTGCTTCTTTGCGTATGAATTAATTTTGAAATTACATAATACTCAATTGTTCAACTAAAAGTAATAGAAACAAGTGAATATTTAAGAGTAGGAATCAAAAATGATGAGGGAAACAAAAAGATTCCGAACTTTAACCGCTACTGTATAGTAGGATTCTTCCTAGCAATACATCTGATATGCAAAATGAACTATTCTGGTTGACGGACTTGAACTCAGCCTTTTAACCGCCTCTGCGCTCTCTAGCGGGTCCCGCTCCTTTCCATAGCTTAGACCTAGAGCATTCTCTAATCGTCTGTGCTCTTGCCATCGCGCCAGGGCCATTGAGGAAATATCAAGTAGTCCGTAAACTCCTATTCTTCTGCTGTTCATTCTTCAGCCGACTGCGCGATGCGCACGCCCCTCGCCCCATGCATCCATTCTTTTGTTCACGAGCGACCACTTTTCTGTTTGTTTTTTTTTTTCCATAGACCATAACAAAGCATAGCTTCAGACGTCTTAGTTCCCAGAATGGTCATTTATGCTTTAGTTCAGGCAGAGTTCCAAACACTTCCTATCTTTCATATGATTAAATGAAACCAGAAAAAGTCGTCTCTTAGTTGGGAGATTTCGGGGGGGACGTGCCAACCACCCTTTCGAAGTATTTGAGGAGGGCCAATTTTCTTGTGAGGATACTTTTTTGTGAATGATCATTCTTCTTATGCTTACTCGACTCCGACGTGAGAAACATTTGATGAGGCTGAACTACCAAATATGTATTCCAATTCCTTTATCCGGATTGTGGGGTTAAAAAATGACCTCCATGGAAAACTGCTTCTTTGCATATGAATTCATTTTGAAATTACACATTACTCAATGGTTGAACTAAAATTAACAGAAACAAGTGAACATTGAAGAGTAGGAATCATAATGATGAGGGAAACAAAAAGTTTCCGAACTTTAACCGCTACTGTATAGTAGGATTCTTCCTAGCAATACATCTGATATGCAAAATGAACTATTCTTGGTTGACGGACTACTTGAACTCAGCCCTTTACCGCCTCTGCGCTCTCTAGCGGGTCCCTCTCCTCTCCAAGGCTTAGTCCTAGGGCATTCTCTAATCGTCTGTGCTCTAGCCATCGCGGCAGGACCATTGAGGAAAAATCAAGTAGTCCGTAAACTCCTATTCTTCTGCTGTTCATTCTTCAGCCGACTGCGCGATGCGCACGCCCCTCGCCCCATGCATCCATTCTTTTGTTCACGAGCGACCACTTTTCTGTTTGTTTTTTTTTCCATAGACCATAACAAAGCATAGCTTCAGACGTCTTAGTTCCCAGAATGGTCATTTATGCTTTAGTTCAGCAGAGGTTTTCCAACCTCTATAGAAGTGTCAGCTCATGCATTCCTTGCTTTCTTTTTCACTGTCACACATGCAAATTGAAGAAAGTAGTAGTAAAAGTAAGCACAAACCCCTGTGCACGGAAGGCAAGGCTCGGTGTATGTTTT